TGGGTGGAGCTGCATGCGGCCCAAGCCGTCGAACTCACCTTTGGCGAGGACGAAGTGGTCGGTCTGCGTGCGAATGTAGAACTCGTTGCGAAACCCACTGGCGCCAATCTTCATGCCGTCCTCGAGCTTGTTCGCGTCCTTCAGGTGCTTGACGACAGGCGCCCACAGCTTTGACATGATACGTTGGCGAGATCGCACATCGTCGGGAAGGTCCGTGCGAATGCGCAAGTGGTGCTCGGCTTGATCTCTCGGGTCCGCCCACTTGAACCCTTGAGCCACAAACCAGCTCTTGAACTCGGACACGAGGTCCGCCGAGGAGAAGTGAATGGAGAAACTCGGACTGGTCTTGGCAAACTTTGTGGTCGTGCCAGCAAGAAGGTGCTGAGGACAACGGGCCTCGAGCATGGTCCACGTTGAGCGTCGTGTCTGTTCAAGAACCGTACGAGGGTACCCAGCAACCCAGAGGCGTCCAGGATCAACTTGTTGACCCATGTCCGACGTCAGTGAACCTGCGATCCGTGGGCGTTTCGAACCAGCTGCAGTGGATGGTGACGTGGATGGTGGAGCCTTGCGTAGTGACTCGATGTGGCGCTCAGACTCCTGTTGCTTCGACTGCAAGGATTGGACCGTGATCTCAAGCGCCGCAAGTATCCCGTCGATCTGCGTGACCTGGCTAGTTAGTTGTTTGCTGGATTCTGCCACGTTGGACGCGAGAACCGAGAACTGGTCATTCACGAAGGCGGCAAACCAAGACGGGGCGCCATCAGCACTCATGACTGCACAAGTGTGGTGGCCGAAGAGGGAGCGATGCCAAAACGGGAGTGGCCTCGTCCCCAGAGAACCTCGATCCTCCCTGTCGGCTGCGCCAAAGGTTCAAATCCCAGGGCGAAGCTTTGAGCCTTGAGCCAAAATGGCAACGGAATTATTCGCGCAACTCCAGTCACCGCTGACCGCGAACGTCCACAACATATACCAGGTTGGGTTCATTCACTTTCTGCACGAGTTCAAGCTGCTCGCATCAGCCTGGCCAAGGCGCGCGCGCTAGATCGGCGCCGCGGCCTGGGCCCCCCTGGCCGCCGCCAGGTTAGGACGCCTGAGCGCAAGAAGGCGCGGCTGAAGACCACGCCGAAGAATGCGAGTGTAACGGTGACAGCACCCGCAGACGCCAGCGCAGCAGCAGCAGCGGCCGACGCCAGCGTAGCAGCAGCAGCAGCGCCAATGCAGCAGCAGCAGCCCAAGCAGCAGCAGCAGCAGCAGCAGCAGCAGCAGCAGCAGCAGCAGCAGTGGGCGGCGAATCCAATGCCGAAACAGCCCATGAAGCAGCTGCCCTTTCCCGCGCCGCCTCCAGCACCAGCGGCAGCTGCCGATGCAGCACCGCCAGCCAGCAGCGCAGCAGCAGCAGCAACGCCTGCCGACGCAGCAGCAGCTGCCGACGCGGCACCACCAGGCAGCAGCGCAGCAGCAGCAGCGCTTCCCGACGCAAGGGAGGGTTGGCCCAAGGCGGCGCCTCCAGCGCCGCCGCCGACGCCCCCGTGGCGCCAGGCGCCGACGGCCCCGCCGCCCGGCCCCCAGCCTGGCCTCCATGGCTGGGGGGCCCCGAACGGAAAGCCGTGGAGGGCGTGGGTCAACGGCGGCAAGGCGCGGCGCGGCATCAGCGGTGGCCGCAACCGCGACTACTACCGCGGCCTAGCGCGCGCCAGGAACCGAGGCGAGCAGGCGCTGGCAGCGTTCAAGGCGGCTAGCCCGCGCCCGAAAGAGCTCGAGCGGGCGCGGGACTTCTACCAGCTGGCGAATGCGACTACGCAGGCTGCACCGACTTCAACTGCATCGCCTGGGCCGCCACCCGGGCCGCCGCCCCCTGGGCCGCCGCCACCTGGGCCGCCGCCAATTGCGCGGGGCCCGAAGCCGCCGCCTGGGCCGCCGCCAGCTGCGCCGGCTGGGCCGCCGACGAAGCGGCGATGCGCCGCCGCCAGGGCAAGGTGATGCGCCGCAGCGGGCGGCCGCTCTACAACGAAGCAGCGGGGTGAGCCGCTGCGCCGAAGCGGGCGCGACCGCCAGAAGAGGAGGAGGATGGGGGGAGGACGAGCGAGAAGACGAGGAGGAGCAGAAGGACGAGGCGGGGGAGGAAGAGCGGGAGCAGGAAGAGTACTATGAGCGCCAGCCCCGCGCCTGGACGGCGCGCGCGCCCGACGCGCGCGCGCGCGCCCGACGCGCGCCCGCGCGTCGGGCGCCGGGCGCCCGCCCCCGTCGGCCCCGCGCGCCCGACGCGCGCCTCGCATCACGACGTTTCTGCGCCGAGCGAACTGGCCGCCTCGGCCCGCGCGGAGACGCAACGTAGCGTTATCTCCAGCGTCTCCCCTGCACGAGGAGAAGGAGGACGAGGTCGGACGAGGAGGAGGAGGAAGAGGAGGAGGAGGAGGAGGAGGAGGAGGAGGAGGGAGGAGGAGCAGGAGGAGGAGGAGACCCTGCTCGTGCGGAGCGCGCCGCGGCGACGCTCTGGACTGTTCGCGGCGCAGGCGAAGGGCGAGCGCCCGGCTCCTGTCCGATTGGCCGGCCCGGTCTTCGGCACAGCTGCCGGGAACTGCCAAGTAAGTGCCGGCTTGCCGGATGACTGCCGCCTACGTTTTACGCACGTGCCGTCGTTTCGTTCAGAAGAAGAGAATGCTGATATGGTTATTGGTTTGAATATGATGCTATTGTTTTAGCTTGAATCAGAAGAAGAGTTCAGAAGAATTCTGATTTTGTTTGTTTCTACAGAGTGGTCGGCAACTGTGTAGAACGTAAGTGTTGAGCAGGAACCGACCGTCCCGGCATTCCTATAGTCCTACCACGAAATACTCTCAGAACCTAAACATGTTCTAATAACAAAAACAATGTTCTTAGAACATAAACTCGATTTGATAAAACAAGGCAGTCCCAGCCAGAAATGTTCTAAGAACATCTCGTGACACGTCAAAAGGTTCTTAGAACATTGTTTGGAAGGGCTATAGGCGAGCCAGGACGCTTCGCCACTGCTTGAAAGTGGCAACTCTTCGGCCACTGGCCGGCAACTATCCGGCAACTGCCGGCAGCTGTGCAAAACATAAGGGCGGGCCGGGGGCTCGGCCCGCGGCTGGCCGCCAACCCCGCCGCATTTTTTGGCGCCCTGTCAACCTGCCTCAAGGTATGTCCGGCAGTGCCTGGGTCGCCATTGCCCAGTCCAGCTCGGGCTGACCCCGCGCGGGCCGAGGGCGTCCGCAGCCGCGGCTGGCAGATCGCACCAAGAGTTCAAGCCCTACCAGTGTGTGTTCTACTCGCGATCTAGATGGGCCGCAGGGCCCCGTGGCGGGTCGCGGGCGGAGCGCGCGCGCGCGAGTCGCGCGCGCGCATGTGGCGGGCGGAAGTGGTGGTGACCTAAGACTGAACACGCAATGACGTTGACGCCTCTGCCGCTCATCGGCAACGTGGCCTTATCCGAATGGTGCTCTCGCCGCAACGCTGGCCGCCAGGGCCGCGTCGCTTCCCCCTCTCCTCCCACTCCCTCTTGCGGGGTAGACGTTCGAGCGCTCGCCCAGCCGCCGACCCCGCGGCTCGGGCCAGACCAAACCGCGCCAGGAACCAAGACCATGTCGACGGCCGCCTTCCCGGACTTATCAGCAGTCCGAACAGAAGGTTTAGATGTGGTTTCCGCGGCTGTGGCGGGGCCGCGCTCTTGACATCTTGGCCTGTTGGCCGCGCCAAATACGCGGCGCCACCTAGACCGCACAAAGTGCACCTCGTAGATTGCACCCGGTAGATTGCACCGCGTAGCTGGGTGTAACCAATCGACCGTCGGGGGGCACCGTGGTTTACGACAAAAACGCCCGTCTCGAATGCGTGTTGAAGCGGGTCCATACCCCCGGCCCCAATTGCAAACATCGGGGCGATCGCCGCGGGGGAGTGCGAGTCGTTTCGGAAAAAAAAGCCCTTCATTTGCAAACCGCGGCCAGCTCCCTTAGATGATCATTGACATTGGGGGCGCGGGGGGCGCTCTTGCGCCATCTTCTAGGCGTTGTACTTGGGCGTTTATTTGTTTCGAAAACGCCGGCAGCATGGCTGCTCCTGGAAGTGACCACAGGAGCGCTTGGGGGCCTGGGAGCCAGTGGCGAGGGAGCCAGCGCGAACGCATACGTACGACGATGGGGAGACCAAGGAGACGCCGCATGCAGTCGGGGCGTTGACCTTAGGAACCCAAAATAAGGAACGAGGCCCCTTTTCTCCATAAGGTAAACTTCGGTTCCCAATCGAAAACCTAAGGACAACCTAAGGCAAGCTGCGAAACAATTAAGGAGCACGGAGCCCTTCCCAAACGACAAGGGTTCCTTGTTCAGCGCCCCGACTGTAGGCCCCTCCTGAGTACAGGTTGAGCATGCCAGCGAGCAGAGTAAGCGCAGAGGCAGCTCGCAGACCTCGGAGCCCCCCCCAGCGCTGGGGCGGCCACGCTCCCCCGCTGCGGGGCGCCATGCCAACCAGCGCACGCGGCCGAACCTGGCAGCTGCGGCGGGCAGCTCACCCCCTGGCCATCGCTCGGACGTCCATTTCCTGTGTTTTCTTCGGTTTCGTGCGTGGTTTTTTCGCGAAATGATCAAGGATGCTCCTCGATGGTCCGAGCGATGCCAAGCAGGACTCTGGGGTCGGGGGTGGCCACAAGAACGGCCGATGCCCATCGTGGCCGTGGACGTGGTCGTCGACCTCCTCCTCGGGAGAGCAAGAGGAAAGAATGGAGGAGGTTGAGGGAGGACTCTGGGGTCGGGGGTGGCCACAAGAGCGGCCGATGCCCATCGTGGTCGTGGACGTGGTCGTCGACCTCCTCATCCGGAAAGCAGGAGGAAAGAAGGGAGGAGGTTGAGGGAGGTGATGGAGGGGGGCGGTCAAACGCCCCCCCCCACACCCACCCTCCCCCCCCGCGGTTGCAGTGGAGGCAAGAATGACCAAGGCCCGTCCAACTCCCCCATGGTCCCCGCGAAGGCGGGGATCGGCGCCAAGCCAGCCGCTTGGCCTCTTCGAGGTGGATGCAATTGCCTCGGGTCAGACGGCCGAAAGAGAAGACCCTCGTCCTCACCCTTTGACTTACCGCATTATCCTCCTCCTCGTTCTCCGATGCGTCACAATATTCTTCTTTCTCCTCCTGTTTCTCCCGCATATTCCCTCTCGTCCCCCTTCCTCCTCCTCCTCCTCCTCCTCCTCCTCCCTCCTCCTCCTCCTCCTCCTCCTCCTCCTCCTCCTCCTCCTCCTCCTTCTCCCCCTCCTCCAGGATCTGCAGTTCTTGACTACGCAGTGCCACGCCATGCCATACCATGCTACGCTTTGATATTTAACGCCATGCTATGTCATGCTCTGTTCTGTGCCGCTGTGCGATGCCTCTGTTTGCGGTGCAATGCTGTGTGATGCAATTCGTCACCACGCACCGCCACGCCATGCTATGACATGCAACGCTCCGCCGTGCTCTCCTGCGCCCTGCTATGCAGTGCTATACGATGCATCGCGCACGCTCCCGGGATCATTGCCCTGCTCGACATCCGACTGTGCGAATGAAGAGGACAACTACGCTATAGTAAAGGATGGGAGGGAGGAGTAGGACTTCAGATATGACGCGAGCGCACTTAACTTGTACTCCCTCCTTACCCTCCTCCTCCTCCTCCTCCTCCTCCTCCTCCTCCCTCCTCCCTCTCCTCCTCCTCCTCCTCCTCCTCCTCCTCCTCCTCCTCCTCCGCCTCCTCCTCCTCCTCCTCCTCCTCCTCCTCCTCCTCCTCCTCCTCCTCCCTCCCCCCTCCTCCTTTCTTCCTCGTATTCCCTTTGTCCTCCCCCTCCTCCTCATATTCTCTCTCGTGTCCCCGTCCCTCCCTCCGTTGCTCCTCATCGCACTTCTTCTTTTCCTACTCGGGTTGCGCTGCGCCTCTGTGTTGACTGCTACTCCGAGCGCAAGTGAAAAAGGTTTGAGGTAAGGGGTCAGGGTTCGTCTACGTTAAGGATGCGAGGGGAACGCGGTGGGATTACGACCCTGGGAATGCGACAGTAATACTTCAGAAAAATTATCAGGCGAAAGACCCAACCATATGCAAATGTGAGAACCGCAGGGGTGCGCCAAAATGAAACGGGGCCGCCATGCGAACCCTGCAACCGGGGCCTTCTGTGGAGCTCCCTGTGGGGCCACGAACCGTGTGAGGGGTGCGCCAAAATGGCGCGGGGCCGCCATGCGAACCTTGCCACTGGGGCATCGGTGGAGCTCCGTATGGGCCCACGAACCGTGTGAGGCGTGCGCCAACATGGCGCGGGGCCGCCATGCGAACCCTGCAACTCGGGCTTTCGGTGAAGCTCCCTGTGAGGCAGGGGTGCGCCACACTGAGGCGGGGCCGCCATGCGAACCCTGCCACAGGGGCCTTCGGTGGAGCTCCCTATGGGGCCACGAACCGTGTGAGGAGTGCGCCAAAATAGCGCGGGGCCGCCATGCGAACCCTGTCACTGGGGCCTTCGGTGAAGCTCCCTGTGGGGCCACGAACCGTGTGAGGGGTGCGCCAAAATAGCGCGGGGCCGCCATGCGAACCCTGCCACTGGGGCCTTCGGTGGAGCGCCCTGTGGGGCCACGAACCGTATGAAGGATGCGCCAAAATGAGGCGGGGCCGCCATGCGAACCCTGCCACTGGGGCCTTCGGTGGAGCTCACTGTGGGGCCACGAACCGTGTGAGGGGTGCGCCAAAATAGCGCGGGGCCGCCAGGGGAACCCTGCCACTGGGGCCTTCGGTGGAGCGCCCTGTGGGGCCACGAACCGTGTGAGGGGTGCGCCAACATGGGGCGGGGCCGCCATGCGAACCCTGCCACTGGGGCCTTCTGTGGAGCTCGCTATGGGGCCACGAACCGTGTGAGGGGTGCGCCAACATGTCGCGGGGCCGCCATGCGAACCCTGCCACTGGGGCCTTCGGTGGAAACTCCCTATGGGGCCACGAACCGTGTGAGGGGTGCGCCAGCATGTCGCGGGGCCGCCATGCGAACCCTGCCACTGGGGCCTTCGGTGGAGCTCCTTATGGGGCCACGAACCGTGTGAGGGGTGCGCCAACATGGCGCGGGGCCGCCCTGCGAACCCTGCCACTGGGGCCTTCGGTGGAGCTCCCTATGGGGCCACGAAACGCTGTGCTGGGTGGATGAAACGCAAGGGAGGAAGAAGGAGGGGGAGAAGGAAGGAGGAAGGAAGGAGGACGCGGGCGCTGTCTCTTCAAAACGATGACCCAACACCGCAAGATGGTTGGGAACAACAGCCGCTGACAACGACGCTCCGGACTTTTGCGATAATGACGACTTTCCAGACTCTGAACTCCCGTGAGACTGAGCGCTGTACGAACCATCCCACTGGGCCTTCGGTGGAACTCCTTGTGGGTCCACGAACTGTGTGAGTGGTGTGCCGAAATCGGAGCGGCAATGTCATGCGAACCCTGCCACTGGGGCCTTCGGTGGAGCTCCCTATGGGGCCACGAACCGTGCGGCGGGGGGGGGCGCGAGAATGGGGCGGTGGTGCCATGCGAACCCTGCATGGGGCGGTGGTATGCGAACCCTGCCACTGGGGCCTTCGGTGGAACTCCCTATGGGGCCACGAACCGTGTGCGGGGGGGGCGCCAGAATGGGGCGGTGGTGCCATGCGAACCCTGCTACTGGGGCCTTCGGTGGAACTCCCTATGGGGCCACGAACCGTGTGAGGGGTGCGCCAAAATGGGCGCGGTGGTGCCATGCGAACCCTGCCACTGGGGCCTTCGGCGGAACTCCCTCTGGGGCCACGAACCGTGTGATGGATGCGCCAGAATGGGCGCGGTGGTGCCATGCGAACTCTGCCACTGAGGCCTTCGGTGGAGCTCACTGTGGGGCCACGAACAGTGTGAGGGGTGCGCCACAGTGGCGCGGGGCCGCCGTGCGAACCCTGCCACTGGGGCCTTCGGTGGAACTCCCTCTGGGGCCACGAACCGTGCGGGGGGGCGCGAGAATGGGCCCGGTGGTGCCATGCGAACCCTGCCACCGGGGCCTTCGGTGGAGGCCCTTATGAGGCCACGAACCGTGTGAGGGGTGTGCCAGAATGGGCGCGGTGGTGCCATGCGAACCCTGCCACTGGGGCCTTCGGTGGAGCTCCCTGTGGGGCCGCGAAACTCGTGAGGGGTGTGCCGACATAGAGACATGCGGAGGGCAGAGGCAAGGAGGGGGAGGAGCGAGGAGGAGGAGGAGGAGGAGGAGGAGGAGGAGGAGGAGGAGGAGGAAGAAGGAGGAAGGAGAAGACGCGCCGCACCGTCTCTTCAAAATGAGGACCCAACACCACAGGATGGTTGGGAAAATCGGGATACTTACATGATGCTGGCAGAATGCAACAGGCGCATGCAATATCCGCCAGCATGCCCCCCTGGCATGCTGTGGCGTGGTCCAGTGTCAAGTGCTGCCTGGTATGGTTTCTGCACTCTTCTAAAGAACCCCCCTCTCGAAGTATCCAACTCCGTGCATCGCCTCTTTCCCCGAGGCCTCAGTCCCGTAAAAAAAGCAATCGATCCGCGCTTCTAGGGCCACGATCCGAAGTAACACGAGGTCGATCTGCGTTTCGCCAGGCAGGCAATCACGGTCGCCAAGACGGCCCGGCCCAACCTGCATCGAAGACGGCCCAAGATGGCCCCAACACGGCCAAGATGGCCTCAAGCAGAGGAACAAACAACTGCATCAACATGAACTTTCGCCAGTCCGCGCGGATTTCTTGGATCCGCGCTGGACCCCCCCCTCCCTGGTGCGCGGAGCGCGCCAGGGGCGGCGCCGGAGGCGCCGCCAGGAGGCGCCCAGCGCAGATCCAAGAAATCCGCGCAGAGCGCCGAAAGTTTATGTTTATACCGTTTTTGTCATCTTCGATCAAGACCGCCCAGCATGCGCCCTAGAGAGTGAACATCACATTCTCCCCGGCATGGGCTGCCGTCAGCTCAAGACGACCCGAGGAGCCTCTGAGATGGCCCCAAGACGGCCCCCCTCTCCCATCCCGAGCGGCGAGGGCCTCCGGCCTTCTCCGCCTCCTCCTTCCTCCTCCTCGGCCTCCTCTTCCCTCTCCTCCTGCTCCGCCTCCTCATTCCTCCTCCTCCTCCTCCGCCTCCTCTTCTCTCTCCTCCTCCTCCGCCTCCTCTTCCCTCTCCCCCTCCTCTGCCTCCTCCTCCTCCTCCTCCTCCTCCTCCTCCTCCTGCTCCTCCTGCTCCTCCTCCTCCTCCTCCTCCTCCTCCGCAGGGTCCCGCGATTGCCCCAAGAGGGCCCCATCGCGGCCCAATGAGGCCTCCAGGACGGCCCCGCGCCGGCCGAAGAGGGCCGCGGGAGGGAGCTAAGACGGCCTCAGTTGGGCGTTGCTTAATGGGGGGGTCACAAATGGGGGGGTCAGAAAGGGTCCCCTTTCGTGCCCCTTTCGGGCCCCTCCAGAGCCCCATGGGGGCTCGTTTAGGTACCATTTGGGTACCTTTTCGGACCACACTCGCCGCCCCCCCATTTACGATCCCCCATTACGCAGCGCCCAACTCAGAGAGCCCGTCGACGCCCGGGGAGGCTCAAGAGGGCCCCGAGGCGGCCCACAGAATCCCCCAAGACTGCTCCACAGGAACCCAAGGCAGCCCGAAGACGGCCCGAACGAGCATGACTGAGAGCTCCTGAAGATGTGCGGATGGAGGGCGTCAAACGTGACCGCCTTCCTCTTCCTCTTCCTCATCCTGCTCCTCGTTATCATCCTCATCATCCCTATCATCCTCACTCTCCTCATCACGGCTCTTCTAAGTTGGAGACAGGAGGTGTCACACGAAACGGCCTCCCGTGCCCCCTCGAACAGTTGCCACCCAGAATGTTTGGCTGGCATGGTAGGGAGCTGAAAAGGAGCACTACATGAATGCTACACTAATGCTGTATGATTTGCGACCACACGAGGGTGAGGTGTGGAAAATCATTGTTTTCTGACGACCCCAGTGAGGTCGCAATCCAGGGGCTACATAATAAGAAAGCACGATGCTGAGGTGTGGGCCTTGTTGTTGTAGCAT